GGGGGGGGGGGGGGGGGGGGATGGGGCGCGCGGCGGCGTCGAGCGCAGGGGGTAATGGTGAGACGCAGGGCGGGCGGCGGAGTGTGGTGCGAATGACGCGGGCCGGCGGCGCTCGGGAGGGCGCGGGCCGGCCGCGCCGGCCGGGTGGGCGGTCGGGAAGCCCGGGGCGAGCGCCACGGGCCTTGGTGCCGTGCGCCGTCGGCCGCGCGTACGCTGACCTGCTCTTGCGCCTGTTCCATTGCAACCGTGCCCCTCCTGCCCCCCAAGAGCCTCGTCAGTTCTCATATTCCAGATCAGGCCCCCACCTCAGGTCCTGGGCGCTGGGGGTGAAAAGGTAATCTTGCTGCCCCCGCCGGCTGGCCGCGCGCCGCCACGCGTGCGGGCAGGCCGGATGGCGCCACCACTCTGGGCCGGCGACCCACTCCAGCCCCGGGGGCGGCGCGGAGGGGCCCGGCGGCGCGCCGCCGTTGCCGTGCTCCTGCGGACAGGGCGGTTGGGTGCAGCTCGGCATTTCGGGCTTGTTGGCTGCAAAAGGAGGCTCGAGACCCCTACCTCAATCCATTCTACGCTAACTGCAGACCCAAACAACAAGCAGAGTGGGAGGTGCCATCCTCCTCCAGCAACACCCGCCACCCGCTCGACCGGAAGCTGCGCAGGCGCCTCTCAAACCCCCACCTGCACCACCTCGCGCCACAGCCGCAGCTCCTCCGCAGAGCGCAGCCGCCGGAGCTCCAGCCGCGGCGCGCCCTCGATCGGCAGCAGGCTGCCGCCCGTCGGCCCGTCCCCGCCCTCGAGCCAATCCAGGCCATCACAACCACCGCCACACACCGCCGCCGCACCCTCGTCCCCGCTGGCTTCATCGCCGCAAGCGCCGTCCCAGCCAGCAGCGCGCCCGGCAGGCCGCCCGGCCGCCGCCTCGCGCAGCAACCGCACGGCTGCGGCGCGGCGCGCCTCATCCAACCCGTCGCACCGCGGGTTGGCGCACGTCAATGCCGCCGCCTTGACCGCCGCACCGCCGCCGCCCTCAGCCGTCGCCGCCGCCGCCGCCCCCTGCCGCATCTCCGCGCAGCAGGGCACGCAGTAGTCCCAAGTGCAGGCCGGGCAGCTGCGGTGCAGGTCCACTATGTTCGTGGCGCAGCGGTCGCACTGGGGCCGCTCTGCATAGTCCAGGGGCGCCACAGGCACCGACTCCAGCGCCAGGCCGTCCTGCAGGGCCTTTTGGGGCGCGGGCGGGGCGGCGGAGGGCGGGCGATGGGTCCGCGTTTGCGGGGCCAGTGAAGGGTACAGGGAGCAGGGCGCGGGGTCGGGGCGTGGGCGGGCGAGAACGCGGCGCGGCGCCGCCTGAGAGGGAGGCGTGCAGTCACGCGGGCTCGACCCCGCCGCCCAGCCGGGCCAGGAGCCTAGTCTGCTGACTGCGATCCGGCCCTTCCACGATCTGGTGCGGCTGCCTCGGACGCCTCTACCTCATACTTTTTGGTCACCAGCCCATTTCACCCGTCCGACCCACCTCGGCCTCAAAGTCTCCAAGCATCAACGCCAGCTGCGGCGCCGCGTGCGCCATGACGCGCGCCGCGTGCGCGCGCCGCTCCGCGCCCTCGTGCCGCGGCGCACAGAACGCCGACGCGCGCAGGCAGTTGCGGCAGCTGCAGATGCCGCGGCACTTGGGGCAGCGCCGCATGAGATCCGCGACCGACAGGTGCGGGTAGCGCGACTCCAGGCAGCTGTGGAGGGGGCGATTCATATCACGTAGGGCAGAGAGGCGGGGATTGGCCGCTTCAACGGGGTGACAGGCCGCTGCGCGGCGCGCAGGGCCCACATCCCCATTGTGCTGCCGGCGCGGCGCGTGGTGACGCCTCTCCCCGCGCGCCGCGCCAGCCTAACAGACGCCAGCGCCCGCCCCGAGGCGGCCCCGCAGCGCCTCTGCATGCTCCGCGGTCGTGTGAGGGGCCATCGAAACTCACGCTTGGCAGTAAGACCAAGGGGAGGTGCAGCCCCCGCAGGCCCAGGCCACGTGCTGCCCCTGGCAGTCGTGGCAGGCCTTGCTGAGCTTGGCGGCCTGCCCCAGCTCCCTGCCGTCCTGTGCAGGGGTTCGCGCATGGCGGGTGCGTGGACGGGATTGTTTGTGTGTGTATCTGGACGAGTGTATTCATGGGAATGCGTGTGGGTGTGGGTGTGTAAGCGTGTGGGTGTGGGTGTTGGAGCGCGTGGGTGTGAGAGCGTGTTATTGGAGTATGTGTGTGTATGGGGCTGTGTGTGTGTGTATGTGAATGTGGGGAGGGGGAGGTAAGGCGAGATGAGTGCGGTGGGCTCGAGGAAAAGAGGGGGCAAGCCCAGCCACGTGATGCAGCGCCCCGCCGCGAGAAAGAGGCAGCGACCACGCAGCCGGCCGACTGCGCCGCCTTCGGCGCCCGCCCGCAACGTCGGCGAGGCGCGGCCCCTCTGCACTCTCCTGCGTTCGCTGCCTCGGGCGCGCCCGCGGGCTCCCACGCCCACCTGCTTGAACAGGTGGATCCTCGGCCGCTGGCCCGCGCGCCCCAGCCGCTCCACCACGGCCTTGACCTCAGGCGTGAGGGTCATACACGGCACCCTCGCCCCATACCACCACCGTGACAGGTCGACGGGCTGCTTGGTCACACAGGCTGTGCAGTCTTTGTCGAGTGCGGCCAGCCCAAACCCCTTCAGCCGCGGCACGCCCGGCGGCGGGGCACCCTCCGCGCCGCGCATCGCCTCGTCGACGGATTCGTAGCTCACTGGGGCGGCCCTCACGCCGCCGGCCACAGGGGGCGGCGCAGCCACGCGCGTTGGGGCCGCCGGGGCCGCCGGCGCCGCCGGGGGCGGCGGCAGAGCGTGCGGGGCCGCGGCGCGGGCAAGCGCGGGCGTCGGCTGGATCCTCCGCCCCGGCCCAGCCGCTGGCAACGGCGCCGCGGCGCGTGCAGGCGAGCCTGCAGGCGGCGGCGGGACCGCGACGGCGCGCCGCTGCTCTCCATAGTGGCACTCGCCCGACAGGGGGATCCCCGCGGCCTTCAGCGCCCCGCCCTCGCCGCCCCCGGAGCCCGCCTGCCCGCTCTCCGCGCCCCGCGGCCGCTCCCTGCCGCGGCCGTCAGGCGAGCATGCCTCTGCCGGCAGCCGCGTGATCCCGCCGCCGCTGCCGCTCCGCGCCGCCCGCTGGCCCGCGCACGCGCCCCGCGGCGCCGGAAACGGCGCCGCGGCAGCGGCGGCGCTGCCGCCCGTCCATCTCCGCCTCGCGCCGCGTGGCAGCTGCGCACCTGGGTTCTCATCTGCCCTCTGCTTTCCTGTGGCCATCAGCTGCAGCACCTCAGCATCGCTGAGCTGGCGCTGCTGCTTGACGCGCTGTAGCAGCGGCATATCGTCCTCTGAGGCTAGGGCCTGCTCGCAGGCGGGGCCTGCCGCAGCCCGGGGCTCAACACTGGCCTCTTGCTGCTGCTGCTGCTGCTGCTGCTGCTGCTGCTGCTGCTGCTGCTGCGCGTCTTGCTGGTCCTGCTGCTGCTGCTGCTGCTGCTGGGGCTGCTGCTCCTCCTCCTGCTGCTCCTTCTGCTGCTGCTGCTGCTGCTGCTGCTGCTGCTGCTGCTGCTGCTGCTGCTGCTGCTTCTGCTGGTGCTGCTCCCACTCCTGCAGCAGTTCCTGCTGCTGCTTCTGCAGCTGCTGCTCCACCCGCAGCTGCTGCTGCTCCTGCTCCTGCTGCTGCTCCTGCTCCTGCTGCTGCTCCTGCTGCGGCTGGTGCAGCTGTTGGTGCTGCTGGTGCTGCTGGTGCTCCTCCTCCTGCTGCTGCTCCTCCTCCTCATGCTGCTCCTCCCCGCCCTCCCCCTCCTTCTGCGGCTGCTGCTGCAGCCCCTGCAGCTCAGTCTCACCGCCCTCCCGACCGGCACCGCCCCTCTCGCCGCCCGTGCGGCGGCCGCTCGCCATAACGCCGCTTCCCGCCTCCGTCACATCGTGCCGCGGTGCATGCCCCGCGGCGCCAGCCGCGTGCGCCATCTCGTCGGGCTCCGCCAAGCCCTCACGCGGCCGGCAAGCGCCGACCGCTCGGTGCCCATTTTGCAGACGGTGCTCCTGCTGCCCCTCCTGCACCTGTTGCTGCTGCTGCTGCTGCCCCTGCTGCTGCTGCCCCTGCTGCTGCCGCTCGCGCTGTTGCTGGTCCTGCCCCTCGCCCGCATCGCCCTGGCGCGCGCCGCCGCCGGTTGCGATTACCAGCGTCACCCGCGCCCCCCCCTCCAGCCTCCAACACTCAGCCCTGGCGGACTCTCCGACGACGCCGACAATGCCCTGAGCGTGCTGCCCGCACACGTGGCTGCTCGGGGTCACCGCGCATGCGGCCGGCACCCCGCTGGCCACGCCGTCCACCACCAGGTGCAAATCGAAGGGATCCCCTTTCCGCCACGCCTTTGGCAGCTGCCTGAACATCCCAATTGGCATCCGCAGGTCGTACTTGCCGCGCCCGCGGTCCCTGCACGTGACCTTCAACGGCCGGTCCTGCGGGCGCGTGGGAAACGCCCGGTTGTGGATCAGAATGGACCCGATGAGGGGTGCGGCCCCAGCTAGTCCCAAGAGCGGTCTCAGCTACGCATGCATGGCGCGAGCCTTGTCGCGTGAGCGAGCAGGCCAGACTCCCCCGTCGGCCGCGAGAGGTGCGCACCTGGCGCCATTCCTGGGGCGCCGCCTCCGCCGCCTCTGCGCATGCCGCACCCTCAGCACCCCCCAGCGGATGCTCTCGCGCTTCCGCAGGCTCTGTCTCCGGCTCAGCTGCGCCGTCGCGCTGCGCCGCGCCCTCAGGCTCCTCCAAGCGCGAGTGCGGCCGGCGCAAATCCTCCCCCGTCCCCCTGCCGCCGCGGGTCCGCCGCTCCTGCTTGCTGTCGGCGCCGGCGGCGCCAGGTCGAGCGGCTGCAGCCGAGGCCTCCCGCTCACAGCCACCCCCTGCCTCCTCCACTTCCGCACGTCCCTGCTCTGCCCCCTCACAGCCCGCAGACCCACCATCCAGCAGCGGGCCGGCCCCCTCCTCGCCCAGACCGGCTGCCGCGTCCGCCGCCGCCACCTGCCCGGCCCCCATGCCGGCCGCCGCCGCATCCCCGCGCTGGCCCTCCGTTGCATCTTCGACCCGCGGCGCCTCTTGTGGCGAGAGGCTCCCCCTGCTGGCGCCGCCCGGCCCCAGAGAGCGACGCTTCGGCAGCAGCATCAGTGGCCCCGCCCGCTGCTGCAAGCCTCCGTTAGGCACCCCACAATTGGCCAGGCGGCCGCTGCGCGTTGCCGGGCTCTCTGGGCTGCCCACAGCCAACGGCCCCGCCACCGCCACCGCTGGGTGGCCGCTGAGGCTGGTGCTCCGCTGCCGGGTCGAGCGCACAGCGTGCGCAGGCGCGTCCCCGGGACCGCCGGCGGCCGCCGCACCTGCCTCGGGGCTTGATGGTGCAACCCTGCGCATCCGGCGCCTGGCGCCGCCGAGGCCGGTCTGCTGCTCGTCGTGCGCCTGCGCGCCGCCGCCCGCCTCGGCTGCCGTCGGATGCGGCGCGCCCCCGCCACCGGCCGCTGCCCTCCTTGATGCCGCGCTGCCGCGCCGCGCCGCGGCCTGTTGCGTGGCGCATGGCGAGGTCGCTGCCTCGGGCGCAGCGGGTGGGGCGCCGTCTGACTGGGGCTGCGATGAAAGCTGCTGCTGCTGCTGCTGCTGCTGCTGCCGCTGCTGCTCCTGCTCCTGCTGCTTTTCTTGCTGCTCCTGCTGCTGCTGCTGCTCCTGCTGCTCCAACTGCTGAAGTCTGACCCTGTCGCGCGCCACCTGCAGGCGCACCTCGCGCACCTGCTGCTCCCGCCACTCGCCGGCGCCCGCGGCGCGGGCGCGGTTGCTCCTGCGGACGCGTGTCTTCGCTTCCGCATCTCTCGCATCTGCAAGCTCGGCGTCGCACTCTTGCAACATCCGCAGCACCCGCTCGCGCTCGGCCTCGGCCCGCGCCACCCGCATCGCCTCTGGTCCCGGCTCCAGCTCGGCCCGCGCGCGTCCCCTGTCTTCGTCCTCGCGCACGTCGTTGAGCGCTACGGTCTCGCGGAAGTGCAGGTCGCGCGCGCGCAGCCGCTGCATCTCGCGGCGCCGCGCGGCCGCAGGCGAGGCGCCGTCGCCGACTGTAGCGGCGTCGCCGCCGCCGGCGCGGGGGTGGTCGTCTGCGATGAGGCGCGCCGCGTCCTCGTCCCACTCCACCTCATGGTACTGACCATCCGCGTCGTGCAGCACTGCGTGAGGCGCCGGGCGTGATTGGCTTTTGGGGATGTTTCGGGGGCGCGTGCATGGGTTGCAGCTGGTGGAAGGCGGTCGGCGCGGCAGGATGGCGAGCTGCTGCTCACCTTGGATGCGTTTGAGATCGGCGTTGTAGGCATAGATATGGCCAGCGTACCACTCCCCCTCGACAAAGTAGACCGCACAGCGCGAGAAAGGCGCTGCGACGCGCGCGGGCGACATGCGCGGGCGACAGGCGGGGTGTCGCGGCAGTGAGCGGCGATCGTGGACGGCACAGGGCAACATGCCGAGCTGGTATGCCACGTACCTGGATCCCCTTGTATGACGGGCCAAGGACATTTTTCGGGCGTGTCCTTGCTTTGCTTCTTGCGCTTGCCCATGTTGCACAGACACAAACAAGTGTATCTCCAAGATGCCTGGTATATGACTCTAATATACCTTAGTAAACAGATTTCGCGGCTCTAAGCGACAAGGACACATGATCTGTGCGCGAAGACGCTGCGCGGCTTCGGCAAGAGGCAAGAGCTGGGCAATTCGTATACAACGAGGCAAACCTTGCACTCAATCGCGTGGAAGGCCTTCAAATGAACGGAGTCCGTCAAGCGAAAGTCATATCTGCGCCAGCCAGATCTTGTGCAGCAAGGCGGGAAGGTGCCAATGCACTTGCTGCCTGCAACCAGACGCGTATCGCGGTTCCAACTGCCACTGGACCTGGTCTGCGATCACCACAGCATGCATACGGTATGGCACCGCTACTCGGCCGGCTGCAAGTCTCGGACAAGAACAGACACAAGTTTGACACATTCCAGGCACCGCCCCACTTGTCGGCGACCGGGCAGCCAGCACGGGAAACCCACCCATCTCAAGCGTCCCCGTGAGCAGTCAAAGCCGCTTCCCTACTGGCACATGCGAACACGCCTTTCTCATCATCAGCCTGTTACTCGCCAAGTTTTTGTGTGTCTCCGCAGCAACGTCGCTTCTTGCCGCCCTCTTCTTATGACGACCTCGGGCAAAAATGCAGCAGACTCCAGGCAAACAACGCTCTCTCAAAATGGCACCAGGCGTGGCGTGCAAGCGTGCCGGCGCGTGTGCTCACGAGCGGCGCACGCGGCCGAGCACACCGTGTGGGTTGAAATCGGCCCCAGAGCACCTGGGGTGCCGCGGGCCCCATGGGCGCGCAGAACAAATACATCGGGGCGCGATGGCATGCCGGCCCGCTGGCGGCCGCACGCATGCGGGGCAAAAAAGCGCGGGCGATGCTGCAGCGGTAGCTGGGCGCCTGGAGAATTGGCTTGGGATTGCAGCCGGCGCGTCGGGGCCGTGGCTGGTCAAAAATCCCGGGATACGGAAGCACAACGCGGGCGGTGCCAGGGAGCGGGAAATGTCAAAAGCCCGCCGAGCGCCGACGGCGGGAATCCACACAGAAACATGGGGCGCAGGGCTGCGCCCGTGACCCCTCGCGCGCACCACATGGGGTCCTTGCCAAAGGGGGGTACTCGCGTGCTGCTCTCTGCGGGGCGCCCCCACATCGATCCAAAACGACGGGTAGAGCGCCTGGTCTGCGCAGGGGGTGATTCAGGGGCGATGCTCCCCCCCTTCCCCGCCGTTGCAAGGGGCGGCGGGGACGAAAAGGAAGGGCCGAAAGCCCGTGCTGCGGGGCCGGCGCGCAGGGGCCGCGGCGCAAGGGGCACCAAACCAAAAATCGCACGCCCAAAACACGCCCCCCCTCCCGCAAGCCGGAGCGACGGGCCGCATGCGCGAGGCAGCGTGTAGGGTGACGGGGGCGCGCGGGGCCGCTGCACGCGCCGGGCTTGCTGTGAGGGCCGCCCGTGCTGCATGGGTGGTGATTGTTTGTTGTGCGCTCGAAAACAGCCATGCGCACGGCATCGCCGCAAAACGGGCGGGCCTGCGATTGCTGCACACGGGTGGGCTGCCGCCCTTGCCAAAAAACCCCGGCGTGTGCTGTTGCGAAAGCAGGAGCGCAAGTGCATCCGTGTTTGCGTTGTCCCCGCGGCTTGGCGGCGGAGATGCTGCGCTCTGGGTCAAAAACGGCGCGGTGAACTCCAGCAGCTGAGCCCGGCGCCAATGGCAAAAGGGGTACGGGTGCGGGCGGCCCCTGCACCCTGCGCGCATGCTCCAAAGGCACGCCCGAGACACGCCCTCAGACACACAAAGTGGAGTGCGGCGGCCCGACATGAGGTGTGCACGCTCGGCAGGGCGCGTGCGGCGGCAACACACGTGCCGCCACGGTGCTTAGGATGAGGCGCGCCACCTTGCATGCCGAGGCGGATAGGCCACACAGCGCCACAGATAGGCCAAATGTCGCGGCGCCACGGCTGGCGAACCTCGGTGGGGCCGGGCAGTTTAGTGAAAAGGGCGCTCAGCAAGGGGACGCGCGCTGCCAAAATGGCGGGGCCGTTGCAGCGCGCGGAGGCGCCTGCGCGCGGGAACGCCTGTGCGCCGGCCGTGCCGTCAGAATGCTGCGCCCCACCCCGGCGCACGCGCCCTCGGAACGGATGGGTCCCAGGCCGGGCGCCGCCCCGCGCGGCCACTGCTGGTAAGGTGGATGGAGGCGGATCCGGCCGCCCTTGCGGGGGGGCCTGCGCATGGCGAGCGGGGCCCCGGCGCGGCCGCAAAAAGCGCCTTTCATTCCTTGTTTTGTTGCCAAAAATGGGTGAGTGCGCGGGGCGCCGCCGGCAGGGCGCGCCGCACACGGGCCACGGCGCCCGACCGACGGCGAGTCGGCGGGGGAGGGGCAGGGCGGCGATGCCCCGCAACGGGCCTGCTTGCAGGGGCCTGCCTGCGTGGCGTTGCAATTGCTGTGATGTTCGCCGGAAATAAGACGGGGCCGCCACAGGGGGTTTGCGCGGCGGCAGGGAGCCGCAGAGCCGCCCTGCGCGCCGCCCGCGCCCCCACGTCCTCCATGCGGGGCTGGATTGCCCCGCCAAAATGTCGAGCATGCTCGGTTGGAAGCGAAAACCAAAAACAGCGCGGGGCGCCCTGCTAGGCCGCCGCCGCCGCCGCCGCCACCGCATGCCAAGTGTGCAGCGTGCCGGCAGGGGCAGTCATGCGGGGCCCACAGGACGGGGGTTCTCATCTCATCACAGGAACGACAGATCGAGCCCCGGCGGGGGCGCGCTGCTGGGGGCGCCGCCCGGCAGCAGGCCGGGGAAGTGTGGGTGGGGCAGGCCCATCGAGGCGGGCAGCAGCCCGCCCGGCGCGTGGCCGCCAATGGCACCGGTGCCGCCATGGTATGACGGGTCGAAACCGCCGGACCCAAGGGTTGCTGCCAGCTCAAGCACCTGCTGCGGCGTCAGCCCCGCGGCCGCAGCCGCCGCCAGGGCCCGCTGCGAGGCGTAATGCTGCTGCAGCAGCGCAGCTTGCGCGTGCGCGTGCAGCTCGGCGGCGTCGGGCACGGGCGCGGGGGCGGGGGCGGGGCCGCCGGGGCCGAGCGAGTGCAGCAGCGCCGCGGCGGCCGCAGGGTGCATGCCGTGCGCAGCCGCGAGGGCATCGCTCAGGTTTTGCTGCTGTTGCTGCTGCTGGATGCTCGCGGCCGCCGCGGCAGTGGCGGCAGCCATCGCCTGCTGCTGCGCGGCGCCAAACCCGCCAAGCGCGCCCAGTCCCGCGTGGCGATAGGCGCCCTGGGCAAAGGCCATCGCATTAAGGGCTTGCATGGCGTCGCCGCCTGCGAAGCCACCCCCGCCCACGGAGGCCGCGGCGGCGGCGGCGGCGGCCGCCATGTGCGCCGATAGCGCCGCCGCGCCGAGCGGCGCGGGCGCGCCGCCGGCGCCGCTGACGCGCGGCGACGCAGACAGCGCGCGCGACAGCCCGAGCGCGCCCTGCCCGCTGCCCACGCCCGTGCCGCCGCCGGGCCCCAGCCCTCCAAACCCGCCGAACCCGCCGCCGCCGTCCTCCGAGCAGCTCTGCCCGCCCCCGCCGCCGCCGCAGCCGCCGTCGCCCGGCGCGCCCGGCAGGCGCTTGATGCGGTGCTTCAGGTGCTCCAGCTTCGAGGGCAGCTTCTTCAGCCGCAGCGGCGTAATCTCCAGCGCGCGGCCCTCCAGGCGGTACCCGTTCAGCGCCCGCAGCGCGCGCTCGGCGTCCTCTATCGTCTCGTAGATGACGACCCCGTGGCCGGCGCTGCGGCCGTCCGAGTGATACTGCACCTCGCAAGCGATCATGCGGCCAAACTTGCCGAAGACGCCCTGCAGGCGCGCGCTCGTGATGTGCTGGTGGAGCTTGGATATGAACAGCGCGTTGACCTTGCAGCCGGGCTTTCGCGAGATGTCGGGGCACGCCTTTGCGGCCGCGGACGCCTGCGCCCACTGGGCGGCCACGAACGCGCGGAACGCGGGCGTGCAGGCCGCCGCGACGTTCTGCGGCTTGGCGAAGCGCACGCGCAGCACGGGCAGCGCGGGGAGCGCCAGCGGCGGCGGCGGCGGCGCCGCGGCGGCGGCGGCTGCGGCGGGCGACGAGGGCGGCCTGTCGCCGGGGGCGCCTAACGGGGGCTCGGGCGAGGAGGCCGCCGCGTCGGCCAGAGGGCTCTGGGCGGCATCAGGTGCTGGGGATGAGGGCGGGCTGTTTGGCTGCTGCTGTTGCTGCTGGTCGCCCTCCTGTCCCCTGCAGGCCTCGTCGCTGTGCTGCGGCAGCATTGTTTCCTTGGCTGACGCCGCCGCAGGCGGCGCCGCGCTACTGTCCTTAGAATGTTGGTCGAAAGCGCCGCTCGGCTCCGCGTCCGTGCCGCCAGCTGCGGCGTCGTCGGCCCCCAGCTCGCTCTGGGGCCGTGGGGAGCCGTCCGCCGCGCTGCCGGCGCGCGGCGTGAGGGCCAGCGGCGTCAGAGACAGCGCGTCGCTCGGCGCGCTGCTGGCGCGCGGCGTGAGGCCGCACCAGCGCGGCGCGAGCGCGTCGCCGGCTGGGTCCGCCTGCGCCGCTGCCCCGGCCCGCCCGCCAAGCGCCGCGGCCAGCGCGGGGCCGTCAAGCGGCGGCCCGCCGCCGCCCGCGCGTGCGCAGGCTGCGCCCGCGAGCGAGGCGGGGGTGCAAGGCGAGTCGGGCATGCGCGGCTGCAGCGCGCGCTTGGCCATGCAGGCGCCGGTATGGTCTGCGAAGACGACGTAGCAATGCAGGCGCCGGCCAGTCACGGAGCCCCCCTCGTCCTTGGCCACCTCGGGCGCAGCCTGCGCAGTAGGGGGCGGCGCTGCATACGTGGGGGGGTGCCAGGCGAGCCGCCAGACTTTTGAAAGTCCAGGGCGTCACAAGCACGACGCAGCATTCGCAGCTGCGGCCGCAGCAGAGCCTGCAGCGCGGCGTCTCTGAGGAAGCCACCGAGCAAGGTCAACAACAACCACAAGCGTTGCCGTCGGTCCCGCCGCACCTCTGCGTACTGCACCGGGCCATACGCTGTCATGAGCTCTGACAGCTTGGACGCCGTCATTGTCAGCGGCAGCCCCTCAATGTGCAGCGCCCGCAGCAGTCCCACGGACTTGCTGCAGGGAGTAATGAGCAGGTGTTGGTGCGTCTCAAACGGGCCAAATCCCGGATCTCACCCGGCATAGGTTGCACAGCCTCTGTTTTGGCGGCAGATCATGGCCACGAGACGACCCACGGCCCCTAGTTCCCATTTTACTTTGTAAAACTCGCATAACCCTTGAAAGTTTGCCCGCGCAAGAGGAGAGGGGGTCTCTCCGTCCACTCGACACGTCAGCCGTCACGGCCTCACCCGAGCCGGGGCCACTGGGCTTGCCCAAGCGCACACGGCTCTGTGCATGTTGAAAAACTACAAGTCACAACGTTTACTGCGCGTAGGCAGCCCCTTGCTCTTGACATTTTTTCCTCCTCACCTGCATGTGCACCCGTCCTCGGCCACGCTGCTCGCTGCCGCGGGGGTGCAGCATACATCTCCCATCGGCGATTCCATCGTGCTGCTATCATGCTGGTGCGGCCCCGGCGTGCACAGCGTGTCAAGGAGACTGCTCAAAAACATGCCGCCTCCAGCCTGCGGAGTTCGTGCTCGACCCTCTGCCGGGCTGAAAAATTAGTTGGACGCCCCCTCGTCAGCCGTCCCTCCCTTGTCCGCTGACCGCGGGATCTACTAGGCAGGGCGGTCGCTAGGTGGTGCGACAACTTGAACAGGGAGCGGGCATTGTGAGCTGCTATTAAATGGTTTGACGGGCCACGATGCTGCACCAGCCGGCAATCATTCAGCGGCTCGCCGCGTCCGCTCGCTTTCTCAGGAGGAGTCAACGCTGACCGTCACGCGCTGACGCAGGCGCACTCGCATGCCGGCGCGGCTGGTAGGCGACCCACATGCTCAAGCAAGGCCCCCATAACAACAGCGATTGTTTCTGATACAAGTCTCGGTGGACAGAGTACAGGCAGGGATACCCCACTCGCTTTAAAGCTTTGAGCACTCTACTGCTTGCCTGAAGCCTGCCATTGCTGTGCTCCGGGTGAGACGGGGCCGGCTGACTACGCCATTGAGGTGTGCTTTCATCGCTAGCCAAAGCAGTTGCCCTTGATCAAAGCCCTGCAGGAGCGACCGAATGAACGACCCAAGGCGCGCCCGTTCCAGCCAGCTAGCCAGTCACCCCTGCGCCTCCCAATGAACCGGAAGTTCGCCCTCCAACAAAGCCCTTACACCAGCACTCTGAGCAGCTATCTATACACAGCCAGGAAGCTGCAGCAACAAGCGGAAGACCCCAGGCGTGCCTGCGAAGCAACAGCAACAATCAAGGGTGCAGCAGCGCCCGAAAGCCTCAAAACTCCGGGTGCCCCTGCGCCCTGCGCTTGCCCGACAGGCGGCCCGCGGCCGGGCGCCCCCATGCGTCACTGCTGCTGCCTCGCGGCGAGCGGCGCCATGGACAGCAGGGCGGGGTAGGTGCCCAGGGACCGTTTGAGCTCGTCCAGGTCTGGCGCCAACTCAGTAGGGACCGGCAGGATGGGCACGCCCGCCCCCGCATCCCCCTCCGCCGCCGCCGCCTGCGCCTTGCCCGCCGCCGCCGCGCCCTTGCCGCCGGCGCCGGCACTGGCGCCGGCGCGCCGCGCGCGCGGGCTGCCGGCCTTGGGGCTGCCGCCCAGCGGCGGCGGCAGGTGCGCGCCGTGGTGCGGGTGCGCGTGGCCGACGTGCCGCTGCTGATGCTGCTGCTGCTGCTGCTGCTGCTCCTGATCCTGCTGTTGCTCCTGCTGCCCGGCGCCGCCGTGCCGACGCGCTGCCGCGCCCGCCGCGGCGGCGCCGTCCGCGCCGGAGGCGGCGCCCTTGAGCGGCACCACGCGCACTGACAGCTTTCTGCGCTGCGGGCTGAGGGGCCAAAGGTATTTATCAAACAGCGCCTGCACCTCCGCCAGCGTCGCGCCCCGCAGCACCTGTGGCGTTGGCGTCGTTTGGATTGAGTGCGTGGGTGGTGGTGCAATTGCTGTGCTCGCAGGCGGAAGAGCGACGTGCGTGGGCGGCGTTGAGGGGCGCGGCGGCCAGGTCTGGCGGATCAGCGGCCTGCCGGGCGCGCCGAGGCGGGTGGCGGGGGCGCAGACTCCTGCGCGCCGCTGTGCGATGTGGGGACGGGGGCCCACCTGTGCCTCCTGCTCGCGCCCGAGGAAGTCGTGGCGGCCGGACCAGATCGCGTCCCAAGCGCGGTCGCCCTCCTGGCCCAGCGCCGTGTCGCGCGTCAGCTTGTTCGAGATCAGCGCGTCCCGGTGGCGGTCAAACTCCGCCTGCGGCAGCGCCTGCAGTTGTCAAAGGTTGGGCAGGTGGGGTTGGCCTCGTGATGCGTGCGGCGGGGGGCGCGCCATGTTCTCCGCTGGAGGCTGGGTCGCCCAGGCGGCAGGGTTAAAAGGACGGGCACCGGCTGTCGCAAGTGGGAGTCCGATGAGCTGGCCATGCTGCTGACAGCCCACACGTTGTTCGGTGACGCAACACCAGCAACATGACAATTGCATATGCGCAAGTGCGCGCGCTCATACACACGCACACACGCACGCCACGCACGCACCCACAAGCACACACCCTCAACGCATGCCCATAAACCCTCAACACACGCGCACAAGCCCTCAACCCACAACCCACCTGCAGCGTCCCCCTGAACTCGGCCAGGAAGGCCTCCACCCGCCCCTCCACATGATCCACGCCATACGCAGCAGACACCACCACCACGCAGAACCCCAGCACCCCGTGCGTCAGCCGCGAGCCGCTGTGCACCGTGTAGCCAAGCTGCAGGGCGGGGCGGGGTGGGGCGGGGG